ATACAACTTTTGTTTCTTCAATAGGAAGAGGGCCATGTGACACATCAAACTTATTGGTAATGTCACAAGAAAAACAATGGTGTGCTTGGTTTCACCGTAAGTTTATTATGCTGTATCCATATAAATGGCACACCCTGTATATCGTTATATCGAACAGCCATATTAGCAGCTGATTTGTCCTGGATGCAGTTTCTACTTTACCATCATGTTTTTATCCTTTTGTGCAATAAAAATAAATGTAATGTCCAGGAACCGGTTCTTTAGGATAGCCGGTGCCCAGCAGTCCAGGTCCTTGGATTCCCATCCCTAACCCACTCTGCTGCTTAACTGACCAGATCAATATGCCAGTAGTTTGACTGACCTGATGCTATACTCTGGTTAAAAAGTATTCCTTTAATTTTTCAAGCAGTGCATACTGTTAAAACAAGGCTTAAAAGTAGGAATGTCAGTCAGAAATACACAGAAAGTTTACACCTCTTGTCAGTGCTGATGATGACTGACATCAGCTGTTGAAAATACCACAGAAATGCAGAAATGTTGGCTGAATCCTCAGAGTTAACAAATAAATATATTCTCATTAAAAATTAGCTACAAGGAAAAAAGGCCATAAATGAATACAGAGAGAATACAGACCCTACTCCACAAGTTAGCCCATGAACAGAGGAAGTCCAGCAATAAGGACAGAGGAGGGTTTAACTACAAGCTGCAGTTGAAAAGCTGTAGATAATAAATATACTGTAGTGAGCTGAGGAATCACTAAACCAAGAACTCACACAGAGGAACTCAAGCTTCAGAGCCACAAGCGAGCGCTCTTTTATATAGCGTTTACATACCTTCTAACTTAGATATTTAGCTCGACTCCAGTAAGTGAAAGTGAATTCAGTGCTAACTGACAACATGGTAGTGGCAGTGTTGTCTTATAACAAGGAGGTTCCTAGTTGGAAACCAGCGATTCACCAAGTGCTTAGATGATTCAGGAGGGAGCTTTTTGACTTCAAGTACCTAAGACGTACTCAGCTGCTGCATTACTAGAGAAGAACAGGCTCCTTAAAAGCACACACTGCACAAAGTTCTGTCTTCATGTCCTGGAGACTCACTCAAATGTGGGAGACATGATCGGCTGTGTGGGTCGGCCTCCCTCTGACGCATCACCTTGAACCCATAGCTCCACCCATCTCTTGTAGCTGAACCACAAACCACACCCAACCACAGCCATGTAATTGAAAGAATGATGTTCTTTAAAGTTCTAAGATTCTGATTTCTAAAATAATTAAATTATTGCAGTTTAATTATTGTTTTATTTAAAAGACACTTTTAGAGCTGTACTGGATTTTTTAAAGATGAACTGTACCAGATACATTTCCTTTTACCCAAAGCCTAATTTATGAAACCACATGATCACAACTGTTCACATGGTGTATTTGAATGGTGTAAACACCAAACAGGAAGTTAATCCTAAAAGTGTAGGCTGATGAAACACATACATTACTCGTCAAAAGTTTTAGAACACCCTAATTTCAATAATTTCAGTTATTTATTGCAATTTAAGTTGTTCGAGTCCAAAGAATAGCTCGAAGTGGTACAAGAGTGGTGAACTGCTAGAGGTTTTGGGGTTTTTTAAAGGTAAGGTAACCAAAACTGAAAAATAATGTACACAAAATTGGTTAACAATTTAAAGCTGTTCTGCGGCAATGGAGGTTGATCAAGTTGATCAGTATTGTACTGCAGAAAGTAGAGTGTTGGCAAGAAAAAAGCAATTAAGAATGGAAAATAAGGTGTAACAATGAAAGTCACTGAGGTAAACTGAGGTAATAGTGTTTGGTGCCAAAGAAAAACGATTACAGGTCACCAGAGAATTTCAATCTATACACCTAAAAACCACAAACCAGGCGAGAAATGTGGGTGTAGTGATGGATGCAGACCTAAACTTAGAAAAACACATTAAGACAATAACAAAATCAGCTTACTATCACCTCAAGAATAT